ACCTTAAAAGAGCGTACTACAGGGATACTGCTACATCGATGTTCATAGCAGCACAATTCACAATTGCTAGACTGTGGAACCAACCCAGATGCCCTTCAATAGATGAATGGATAAAAAAAAAATGTGGCATTTATACACCATGGAGCATTACGCAGCACTAAAAAATGACAAAATCATGGAATTTGCAGGGAAATGGATGGCACTAGAGCAGATTATGCTCAGTGAAGCTAGCCAATCCCTAAAAAACAAATACCAAATGTCTTCTTTGATATAATGAGAGCAACTAAGAACAGAGCAGGGAGGAAGAGCAGGAAGAAAAGATTAACATTAAACAGATACATGAGGTGGAAGGGGAAAGGGAGAGAAAAGGGAAATTGCATGGTAATGGAGGGAGACCCTCATTGTTATACAAAATTACATATAAGAGGTTTGTGAGGGGAATGGGAAAATAAACAAGGAGAGAAATGAATTACAGTAGATGGGGTAGAGAGAGAAGATGGGAGGGGAGGGGAGGGAGGATAGTAGAGGATAGGAAAGGTAGCAGAATACAACAGTTACTAATAGGGCATTATGTAAAAATGTGGATGTGTAACCGATGTGATTCTGCAATCTGTATTTGGGGTAAAATTGGGAGTTCAAAACCAACTTGAATCTAATGTATGAAATATGATATGTCAAGAGCTTTGCAACGTTTTGAACAACCAATTTAAAAAAAAAAAAAAGATCAGTCAAGAACACAGCACTTTGCTTATGGTCAAGTGGTCTAGAATCAGGTTTCAGCCATAAACATTTAATTTCTTTTTACTTTAAAATTAACTTCTCAAAATTTATATTTATTGATACCATCAATAATAATATAATACCTTTTAACAGCACTTAAAAATTATAAATATGTAATATTATTAATCAGTATTATATATCTTTTATTAGCAATAGGTAAAGAACTTTGAATATGAACTGCAGGCAGAGCATCCCTGATCCAAAAACCTGAAACCCAAAATGCTCCAAAATCTGAAACTTTTTGAGCATTAACATGATGTCACAAATGGAATATTTCAAACTTGACTTCATGTGATAGGTCACTGTCAAAAGGCAAACATACTAAACATACTGCATAAAATCACCTTCAGACTATGTATATGTAGTACATATGAAACCCAAATAAATTTCATGTTTAGACTTTGGGCCCATCTCCAAGATACCTCACTGCATAGTCTATAAAATATAAAGTTTGCAAACATCCCTAAATCCAAAAAACTCCAAAAACTGAAACATTTCTGATTCCAAGCATTTCAGGGAAGAGCATTCAACCCGTATGCATACAAAAATATTCCAAAATCTGAAAACAATCCAAACCCCAGAACACTACAGATCCAAAAAATTTTGGATAATGAGTACTTAACCTATATTTGCTGCTGCAACTACTTCTACCATTACTTGCCACTCAAATTCTAAAACAGTCAGGTATATGCTAGGAAATTTGTATATATTAGCTTTAATCCTCACAAAAGCCTGTGAGATAGGCACTATTATTATCCCCCTTTGACAAATTGGAAAACTAAAGCACTTTGCCAAAAGTTTAAAAACCTAGTCAAGGTTACCCAGATAATAAAAAGCAGAGCTTATGATTAAAGCAGTCTCAGCCAGGAGTAATGGCACATATCTGTAATCCCAGCTATTCGGAAAGATAAAGCAGGAGGATTGCAAAGTAAAGGCCAGACTGGGCAATTTAGCAAGACTCTGTTTCAAAATAATTTTTTTTTTTTTTAAAAAGGGGGATGATGGTATAACTCAACAGAAGAGTGCTAATCTAGCATGCGCCAAAAGAAAAAAAGAAACAAACAAACAAACAAACAAACACCTCAGGCAATCTCATCATATGGCAACAACTTAAATGTCCATCAAAAAATGAATATACAACATATAGTGCAATATTATTCAGACTTTAAAAAAAAAAAAAGGATATTCTGTTGCTTTCAACAATATGCATGAACTTGAAGGACATTGTGATACATGAAATAAGCCAGACACAGAAAAATACTACCAGATCTCACTTTGGAATGTGCAATCTACAAAAGTCAAACTCATGGAAGCAGAGAACAGACCCTACTAAAGGTGAAGAGGTGGGGGATTTGGAGAGATGTTGGTCAAAGGGTACAAAGTTACAGTTATGTAGGATCAATCAGGTCTAGAGATTTAGTCAATATAATTATGATTATAGTTAATAATACTGTTTTGTCTACTGGAAATCTGCTAAGAGTAGGTGTACTCATCACATACAAAAAATATGGAAACCATGTGATGAGATGGATATTAATTAGCTTGACTTTATTAATAATTTCACTATATATATATATATATATATATATATATATACGTATATCAAAACATATTGCAGACCCTTACTATATTTAATTTTAATTTAAAAATAAATAAACCAATCAGTCTGATTCCAGAGTTCATACAACTTAACAACAACAACAAAAGTCTAGCCTGGCATGGTGGAATGAGCCTGAAGTCCCAGATACTTCAGGGGAGGCTGAGGTGGGAGAATCACTTGAGCCCAGGAGTTCAAGTCCAGCCCGGGCAATATAGGGAATCCTATCCCTTTAAGAAAACAAAAACAAAATAAAATTTTTAAAAATCCTAAGAAAAAAATTGTATCTCTACCATAAACAATCACAGCTTATTCTACGCTTGATTTTTAAATCCCTAAATTCCTATATATTTCTTTCCTTACCTTGATGTTAGAACTCTGTTTAAATGGCTCCAGAACTTCTAAGAGGCATTTTTGAAATATTTTTAGTTGCAGTTGGACACAATACCTTCATTTTATTTATTTATTTTTATGTGGTGCTGAGGATCGAACCCAGTGCCTCTCGCATATGTGAGGCGAGCACTCTACCACCGAGCCACAACCCCAGCCCATCTAAGAGGCATTTTAGTGAGAATGTATAACAAAGTGATTAGAAAATTTACTAGAATATCACACTACCTCAGGATAATTTAGTTCTACTATTTACCAGTTTTCTGACACTAGGCAGGTTATTGCTAAGCTTCCTTTTATCTGCAAAATGATAATAGCAATAGTACCTGTTTCAAGACATTGTAAGAATTCAAGAAGATTCTACAGATATTTATTGGTTAATTAATATGTGCCATATGCTACTTCAGGTACTAGGATAGGTATGAGAAAGATTGACATTACACTCTATATGTATAACAAGAGTTGTAATACATTACACTGTTGTATATTTTAAAAAATAAAATCAGTTAAAAAAAAAAGAAAAAAGAAAGATTTTTTTTTTTTAATATTTATTTTTTAGGTGTAGATGAACATAATACAATGCCTTTATTTTTTTATGTGGTGCTGAGGATCATATCTGGGTCCCACCCGTGCGAGGCAAGCGCTCTACCGCTAAGCCACAATCCCAGCCCCTAGAAAGACTGACATTACATTCCAACAGGGCAGATAGATAATAAACATGTAAACAAATAAATTCAGATAATACTAAGGGTATGAAAAAAATAAGGTAGCATGAAAGAAAGCAATAAAACCTGGGAAAAGTCATTCATATAGCTTATTATTATGATGATTTTCAACATTTTAATTCTAGAAGCATCTAGTTAATTTTTCTAACCATAATGTTTCCATGAAGATCATCAACAGGGGCTGGGATGTGGCTCAAGTGGTAGCATACTCGCCTAGCATGCATGAGGCACTGGGTTCGATTCTTAGCACCACATAAAAATAAAATAAATATATTGTGTCCACCTAAAAACTAAAAAATAAATATTAAAAAAAAAAGATCATCAACAAAGTACAACTAAACTTAAAAACAAAACTGAAGTTGTAATTTCATCATAAAAGTTTAAAAGTACCAGAGAGCTGCCAAGGTCACAATAGTATATACATATTTTTCAAAATTCTAATTTTTACTTCGAAGTTCAAAATTTATCAACCTCACTTTATTATCAAGAGTTACCATAACTATTTAATTACATCCCCCCCCCAGGTAAAAATGATGTCCCATGAAAAAAAGTGGCTAGTTTAGCTCACAAGCCAAACTATTCTACAAGTGCTTTTCTTCAAGATATCCACCCTGCCTCTGGATGTGAGAGTTTTATGGGTACCAGTAATTTTTTCACATAAAATGCTAAAAATTTTAAGGGCCAAGCCAGGCACCATGCCTGTAATCCAAGCAAATCAGGAGGCTGAGGCAGAAGGATCACAAATTTAAGGCCAGCCTTGGCAACTCAGTGAGACCCTGAGCAATTCAGTGAGACCCTTTCTCAAAATGAAAACTAAAAAGGACTGGAGATGTAACTGAGTAGTAAAGCACCCATTAGTTCAATCCCCAGTACAAAAAAAAAAAAAAAAAAATTCAAAACCTGAAATTTAATAAACTTAGTCATTTTTCACTGCTTCATCCAAGACATTCTTAAATGAAGCTGACTTTTTTTTTTTTAAATGTAGATGAAGAAAATTACTATTAATACAGATTGGAGCCACTACCTTGATTTGTAGTAAGGCACCAACAATTTTACCACCACCGTTTTATCACTGCTTTTGCCCCACCAGTGCATATCAAAACAATTAAAAAGGCAAGTAACATCTTCATATTATTATGAAAATACTCCTGATCTCACAGATCACAAGGAAAAAAAAAAAAAAACCTTAGGAATCTCTGGAGTTGCTTGGTCTACTCCTTAAGAACTGCTGCCCTAAAAGAACTTTAGGGAACTGGAGTTCACAAACATTAGAATATACAAGAAAAAGAACTTCCAGATCTCTCGAGTCCAGTTTTTTTCATTTTATAAATGAAGAACTGAGGCACAGAGAGGATAGTTTACCATTAGTAAACACACATGTGACAGTACTTAGGACCTCTAACCTGTTTTTCATTATTCCTTAATGAATTTCACTCTTTACAAAAATGGAGTTAGAAAAGTCCACAATTTTCCTTCTTTAAACTAAACAATGATATAAACACATATATTTTGTGGAGAAAAAGCATTTACCTTTCCTAATGGAGAGTTGGGTTTTACAGTCTTTGCTGAAGAAACAGGTGTATCTAAATGGTATGCTTCCTTTTCAAAACACTGACGTTTTCTAATCTGTAAACACAGAACCAAAATGAAGTTTAATAAAAACACAAAGTTTGACAGGCTAATTGTTCTTAAAGGCCAAAATAGCTGTTTATAGTTTTCTGTTCTTTTTTTTTTTTTTTTAACTAAAAAGACTATTTGTACCTGGCAATAATCAAATAATTTTTTAAAACACAAAGAGAACACCAGACATGGTGGCACACACCTATAATCCGAGGCTCAGGAGGCTGAGACAGGAGGATCACAAGTTCAAGGCCAGCCTCAGCAACTTAGTGAGACCCTAAGCAACTCAGTGAGACCCTGTCTCAAAATAAAAAACAAAAAGAGCTGGGGATGTAGCTCAGTGGTAAAGCACCTCTGGATTAAATCTCTAGTACCAAAACAAATAAACAAACAAGTAAGCAATAAAACCCACAAAACCCTAAAAACACAAAGAGGCACCTCATTACAACACTTTTTAGTAACAACTCTTAAATAGTAACCAAAATAACTTTAGTTACTGACATATCAAAATTATATAATCATCAAGTGACTTTCCCATAAAAGTCTTTCCATACAGATATCAAATACAGTATTATAGCAAAGTCCAGTCAATACTTAAGCCACATATTACATTGAAAAGAATTCAGAATAAAATTAAAAAAAAATTTTTTTAGATGTTGATGAACCTTTATTTTAGAGTCGAACCCAGTGCCTCATACATGGTAGGCAAGTGCTCTACCACTGTGCCACAACCCCAGACCTAAAATCTTTAAATGTAAATAGTCGTGATTCCCTACATGATAGGATAAATTACTTAATCACTATTATTACTTACTAGATATTTGATTAAAAAATTGCCTGATTATATTTCTTTTATAAATAGCATTAAGTTTTCTTTTCTTTCTTTCTTTTTTTTTGGTAATTGGGATTCAACTACGGAGATACATCCCAGTCTTTTTTATATTTTATTTTGAGACACGGTCTCACCTCTTGCCTCAGCCTCCTGAATAGCTAGGCATGTGTTACTGGCTCCTAGCTAAATAGCACATTTTCTTTCCAAACTGTATCCATGCTTTTTTTACTTGCCAATACCCTATTAAATCATTCCATTCCTACCACACCTGACACATCTTTTAATAATTTTTAAATACACATATTTTATCATGTATCAATATTAAGAAGTCAGTAAATATGAGTAAATCTTACCATTATACTTAAACTGTCAATACCATGAATATTCCTATCAAAGGTATTTTGGTGAAAAGAAAATGCCATTATTAGATTAAAATGTTGAAGGAGTTTGCTGGACACAGTGGAGCACAGATATAATCTCAGCAACTCAGGAGATCAAGGCAGGAGGATTGCAAGTGACAAGTCTTGGCAACTTAGTAAAAACCTGTCTCAAATTTTAAAAAAATTAGAAAGGGCTAGAGATGTAGCTCAGTGGTAGAGTACCCCTGGGTTCGAGCCCCAGTACTGGGGCAAAAAAAAAAAAAAATTGACTTTTTTTTTTTAAGTTGGGTATGGATACAATGCCTTTACTTTGTTTATTTTTATGTGGTACTAAGGATACAACCCAGTGCCTCACACATGCTAGGTAAGCACTCTACCACTAAGCTACTGCGACTCCAGCCCCATGAACTTTTAAAAAGTAGAATTTCTGGGCTGGGGTTCTAGCTCTGTGGTGGAGTGCTTGCCTAGCAGGTGTGAAGCACTGGGTTAAATCCTCATGAAAATAAATAAGTAGATAAAACAAAGGTATTGTGTCCATTTACAACTAAAAAAAAAAAAATTTTTTTTTAATAAAATAGTTTCTTGCATTACCAAGATGCCTCACATTTTACTGTCAAATTCCTCATACGTAAGAAAGTACCAGGCAGTTTCACTTTTAAGACATGTTACTATGAATAACCTGTCACAATATCAAATTCCTTTACAACAAGTAACTGTATAAAATGAAGTTATAATAAATTCAATTTATGGCTGTGACACAACCTAACTAATCTGCTTATGCCACTGAAAACTTGATTGAATTTGACTATCATGTTTAGTTATAACTAATGGATTATTTCATTGCTAATAAACTCAATGTTTACCTGCTGTGTAGTTTCTACATGTCGAATTCTTTTCTTCTCTACTTGAAAATCATCATTTTCATCCCGACATGTGGATGCCTGTTTCTTGGCAGATAACTTTGCAGCCAGAGTGTTTTTTTCAGGAGAGTCTTATATAAGAAATAAAAAATTAGTATAAATAACTCACACTTAAGCAATTTTTTTAAAAGAGCACCAGAAATAAAAGTACTTTTTTACCACTCAGTTTTTACCAAAGATACAATGTTTTGAGAAACATGCCTGCAATAGGGAAAGTCAAGGTTTGATTTTTAAAACAGATTTATGGTTTTATAGACTATTTCCAATAACATGGTTGAAGAAATAGAACTGTCAAGAGTCAAGACTTAAGAAATGCATTTCATTTTTATAAAAATCTCAATGTTCCTTTCCTACTGAACTTCACCATGTTTTTTACGCTAAAAATATTGATTATGGAATCAAGCTCATATAATGTCTTAATCCCACAATCATGAGAGCTTTTTCAAGGCCATGAACAACCTCTTTAATCACCAAATAACATCAATTATCCCAGTTTACAAATGTGGAATTATAAATACACTAGGTATTAAGGTGAAGTAACTTGCCTAATATCACATAACTATAAGTGGCAGACTTGTGTGTGACAGATCTGTCAAATATTTGACTTCAATATCCATAAGTATAACCACTAAGCATAACGACAAACATAACACCCTGTGTTCTTAGAAAACAGCAAACACATTTCCTTTTCCCTTAATATCTTTAAAACTATTTTTAACTATTCCTATATATTGGTTTCTCCCTTTTCCTGAATGTGAGTGCTCTTAAAGGTACCGTCCTTCCTTTGGCCACTCTCGATGATTCTTTCCACTTCCATGGCTTGAATTCATTTAACAACCATTTATTATACTGAGTCCATAAACTGGTCAGATATCATGGAAAACCAATGAACAAAAACCACTGCCTCATCATAAAGGATTTACATACTATTTATGGGAGAGACCTACACAAACAATTCCCGCACCATTCTCAAAAAAACAAGTTTGGAGCCAAGCACAGTGGCACACACCTATAATCCCAGCGGCTCGGGAGGTTAAGGCAGGAGGATCAAGAGTTCAAAGCCAGCTTCAGCAATAGTGAGGTGCTAAGCAACTCAGTGAGACCATGTGTCTAAATAAAATAGAAAACAGAGCTGGGGATGTGGCTTAATGGCCAAGTTCCCCTGAGTTCAATCCCCAGTACAAAAAAAAAAAAAAAAAAGTTTGGTCCCACACAAAAACACAAAAGAAAATAAAAGTTGCAGGGTTTTATTTTAAATTTTTTTTATTTTTTGAAATGGGGGGGGGGGGCGCAGGGATTGAACCTGGGACACTTTACTATTGAGCTACATCCTCAGCCTTAATTTTTTTTTTAATTTTGAAATACTGTCTAACTATATTGTCCACATTGGACTCAAACTTGCAATTATCCTGCTTTAGCTTCCTAGTCCATGGTATTACAGGGACTAAGTTGCTGAGGCTTAGGACTATTTTTTAAAATAAATATTGCTTAATATCTCTAAAGTAGTGATGAAAGACCTAGAACTTCCTTGATCCACTGTCCCCTTAACCTTATAAGATGTGTTTGAAGCATTGTTTGAAAATCACTATGGTTTTGTCTTTCATATCTAGATCTTCAATCTACCTACAATGGATTTTTATGTATGGTATAAAATAGGGCTCTAATTTCAATTTTTTTCCATATCAATACCCAATAGTTTCAGAATCACTTATAGAAAAGTCACTCCTTTCCCCTATGCTCTGTAGGAGTACTTCCAATAACAAGTTTCTGGATACATGTGGGACTGAATTTGGATTCTCTATACTTTTACACTGGTTTATCACTGTGCTAATATCAAACTGTCTGAATTACTAAGTTTTATGTGTAATAAATTGAATATCTTATATATAAAGTTCTCTCTTTGACCTGTTTCTTTCAAATTGTGTTGGCTAGTCTTTAACATTTCCATATATTTTAGATAAGACATGCAATTTTTTTGCTTTGTTGTTTTGGTTTTTTGGTACAGAGGATTGAACCCAGTGGTGCTTAACCACTGGGGCACATCCCCAGCCCTTTTTAAATTTTATTTGGAGACACAGTCTCACTGAGTTGCTTGGCGCCTCGCCATTGCTGAGGCTGGCTTTGAATTCGCAATCTTCCTGCCTCAGCCTCCCGTGCTGCTGGGATTACAGGCATGTGCCACTGTGCAAAGCAAGACACGCTAATTTGAGTTCTGCAATTTTTAAATAAACCAGTAAAATAACTACAGAATAAGCTTATATTAGTAATTATCAACTGGAGCAATTTAAATATCACCACTCCCTACACTTTGGGATACTAAATAATGTCTGTACACATTTTTGGTTGTCACAAAAATGGGAAGGGAGGTAAGAGTATAGTTCAGTGATAGAGTGCATGTGTGAAACCTTGGGTTCAATCCTCAAAACCAAACGGGGTGGGGAAATGCTAGGAAGGGTGCTACTGTCATCTAGCATGTAGAAGGCCAGGGATATTGCTAAATATCTCACAATGCATGGGCAGATGCCATAAAAAAGAATTATCACACTCTAAAAGTTAACAGTACCACTATTATGCACTGTGCCATCAAGGAGCAAATTTGCACAGGCTCATTAAACATTTAAGAATTGTTTACTAAAAATAAAAATTTAGCCTGGCATGGTGGCACATGCCTGAAATCCAAGCAATTCAAGAGACTAAGGCAGGAGGATCACAAATTCTAGGTCAGCCTCAGCAACTTAGCAACACCCTATCTCAAAAGAAAAATAAAAAGGGCTAAGAATGTGGCTCAGTGATTGAAGCGCCTCTGGGTTCAATCCCCAGTACCCTTCCCCACCCCTCCCCCCCAAAACAATCAATAATTTAGTTTTACAAAAATTGATCTGCCATCCTGCAAATAAAAGTAACCCTGCCAGATGTGGTGGTATGAACCCACAGTATCAGATATTCAGGAAACAAAGCCACAAAAATTGTTAAGTTTGAGATCAGCACAGGCAACTTAGCAAGACTCTGTCTCAAAATTTTAAAAAATTTTAAAAAGAGCTAGAAATGTAGCTCAGTGGTTGAGGCCCTGGGTTAAATCCCCAGTACTGCACAAAAACAAACAAACAAAAAAAAACAATGAAAAACAAGTAAGGGTAACCCCGATTCATAAAAACAAAAATCATACTATCATTACACATAAAATGACTTCATAGTGGGACAGTTCACAAGAAGCTTATCAAAAGGGTTAAATCTTTGAGATGCATGCTTTAAAAAGCAAGATACCAGTATCTCCCAAATATACTATAAAGAAAAAGAAACTCCTAGAAATCAGAAAAAAAAAAAAAAAACAATAGATAAATTGGCAAACAACTTGAACTTGAACAGGCAATTCACTAAAGAAGATATTAAAAGATGAACAAACATAGAAGAAAATGTACATTGGTCACTAGACAAATACCAATTAAAAATCAGGGCCAACTGGGGCATGCCTACAATTACAGATAACTCTAGATACTGAGGCAACTTAGAGGCCAGCTAGCCTGGGCAACATAGTCAGACCCTGTCTCAAAAGTGAAGTTAAAAGGGTTGGGGATATAGTTCAGTAGTAGAGTGCTTGCCTAACACATATGAGGCCCTATGTTGAACCACTAGTACAGAAAAAAATTAAAGAACCTCAGCACTGGGATTAGGGTTGGCCCTGGGTTTGATCCTCAACACCAGAGAAAATGAAGCAAAACAAAAAATCTCAATGAGAACACCACACATGCACAAGAATGGCTAAAATTTTTAAAAACTGGAAATATCAAGTGCTAACAAGAATGATGATTTTCAGGGCTGGAGTTATAACTCCAGTGGTAGAGCACTTGCCAGGAATGTGTGAGGCACTGGGTTCAATTCTCAGCATCCCATATAAATAAATAAAATAAAGATCTATCAACAACTAAAAATAAATAAATAAAAGAATGATGAAGATTTTCATATACAGGCATACCTTGGAGATATGATGAGTTCAGTTTCAGACCATCTGAATAAAGCAAATATTGCAATATAGTGTCACAAGAAATTTTTGGTTTCCTAGTATATACAGAAGTTATGTTTAGCCAGATATGGTAGTGTATGCCTGTGAACCTAGCAACTGGGGGGCTAATGGAGGTAAGAGCATAAGTTCAAGGCCAGCCTCAGCAATTTAGCTGAGGCCCTAAGCAACTCAGAAAGACTCTGTTTTAAAATAGAAAGGCTTGGGGATGTGGTTCAGTGGTTAAGCATAAGTTCAAGGCCAGCCTCAGCAATTTAGCTGAGGCCCTAAGCAACTCAGAAAGACTGTTTTAAAATAGAAAGGCTTGGGGATGTGGTTCAATGGTTAAGTGCCCTAGGACAGGAAGGAAGGAAGGAAGAAAAAAGCGATGTTTATACAATACTATAGTCTATTAAGGCTACAATAGCGCTGTCAGAAAAAATATATATATACCTTAATTTAAACACACCTTATTATGCTGGGCACAGTGGCATACACCTATAATCCCAGCAGCCCGGGAGATTGAGGCAGGAGGATTGTGAGTTCAAAGCCAGCCTCAGCAATAGCGAGGGACTAAGCAACTCAGTGAGACCTTGTCTCTAAATAAAATTTTAAAAAGCACTGGCAATGTGGCTCAGTGGCTAAGTGCCCCTGACAATGCCTGGTGCCCTCCCCACAAAAAAACCTTACTATTAAAGAATTCTAATAATTATCTGAGCTGTCAGAAAAAAAATACCATCAACATTTTTTCAATGCCACAGAATTTCACTTTTTAAAAAAATAAAAACAAAAATACCACAGTATCTGCAAAGCATAATAAAGTGTGATATGAATGTACTGAGAACAGGTGTAGTGGTAGGAACTCATAAATTGGTTCAACCACTTTGGAAAATTTTGGCAGTATCTACTATAGTTGAATATACATAAAAACAGACCAGCAATTCCATTCTTAGGTATGTATCTAACAGAAAATACTTATTTGCACCAGTATGAAAAGGAAAAAAAAATTTTTTTTCATAATTACATTAAACAAAGGCAGAAACAATCCAATTGTCTAATGAACATAAAATAGATTAATAAATTCTGGTAATGTTCACACAAGAAAATAATATACTAAAACAAGAATTATGACCATATGAAAGAGCATGGATGACTCTCGCAAATACAGGTTAAGCAAAAGCAGACACTATAGAACATATATAATTCCATTTTTAAAAAAGCAAAATTCATCATTTCTGACAGAAGGTAGAATAAGTCACCTATGGAGAGAAGGCATAGTGCCCAAAAAAGAACAGGGGAGCCTATGAGGTGTGGGTAATGTCTTTTTTTTTTTTTTTAAATCTAAGTGGTAGTTACGAGTAAATATTCATTTTGTGAAAATTCAAGCTATATACTAAGGATTTGCACTTTTCTGTATTTAGGTTATATCCTGTCAAAGAATTTACTTACAAAGAGGGTATTAGACCACAACCCAGATTTACCCTATTTGGACAATTCTCAATAATCCCGACTAACAGTAGTAAAAAGCAGAAACACGTAATATTTTTAAAAATTTTATGGTAGTGTTACTATATTTCTCTTACTCTAATAAGAACTATTTAAGGGAGGCTGCAGTTGTAGCTCAGTGGTAGAGTGCTTGCCTAGCATGTGTGAGCACTGGGTTCGATCCTCAACGCCACATAAAAATAAATTTTAAAAAAAAGGTATGTGTCCATCTATAGCTAAAAAAATTTTAAAAATAAAAGAACAATTTAAGGACCATACATAAAACATACCTGATTCTTACACAGAACACTATTTTCAGAAGGCAGGCAAATTTATCAAGAATGAATAATGAGATTGTGTTTTAGGATACAAACACTATGTTTTATAAAAAAGTTTAGCATATAGGGCTGGGGATGTGGCTCAAGCGGTAGCGCACTCGCCTGGCATGTGTGCAGCCTGGGTTCAATCCTCAGCACCACATACAAACAAAGATGTTGTGTCCACCGAAAACCAAAAAAAAATAAATATTAAAAAATTCTCTCTCTCTCTTTAAAAAAAAAAAAGTTTAGCATAACAATACTGACTACAAATGATATAAATTTCTAATCTTTTTACAAGACCATATCAATTTCTAATCTTTTACTTTCCTTTAGATTCATCAAAAAACAATGTAAGCCAGCAAAATGTCTCAAAGGATTAAGTCAAACCAAGAATTGAAAAAGGCTGACGTTATTTTAAAATAATTCCAGCTTGGTATATAACTTAGTGGTGAAGCACATGCTTAGTATGCACGAGGCCCTAGGTTTCATCCCTAGCACCAAACATAAATAAATAAATAAATCCATAAAAATTATGTAGAGATACATAATTAATTATGCTAACTAAACTAAGCCTCATATCAGTAATAATTAAGGCTCCAATTACAAATAACCAGCAGATCCAAGAGAAATACAATTTACCTTGACAAGTCGATGAACTGCCATTTCTTTCAGAAGGTGGTGTGCTTGGACTATTGAAATGAGGTGAAGTTCCTTGGTTCAGGTCTCTGTGTGTGAAATTCTTTGAATGGCAGGTACAACAACATGACAATGGTACTTCAGTTTTTTTACTTAAGCCTTCATCCATTGGCTTCCCTAAAAATCAAAGAACCTTCATATGTAACATATGTAATTAAATAAATATTACTCTTTCTCTACAGCTAGGGGGAGCAACCACTTCAGTCCACCCAGGATTGGAAGATTTCACAGGATACAAATTTTTAGGGCAAAAACTAGGAAAGTACTAGACCTGGCAAACCTGGACAAGCTAGTCATACTATCTATAGCATTGAATTATGACAGGAGAGAAATGCTTATGTCAGAGTATTTATAGAGAAGTTACCATCAATTTCTATAATTGACAAAAATCTAAGAACAAAGATTAATAATATAATAAAAGCACAACCACTAAAATGTTCATTAATACTGAAATTTATTTTAAAAATCAAGCAGGAAGGAATAAAACAAAGACCTAAAGCATATTCTCTCTCATTTTTCCTCTCAGTACTGGGGACTGAACCCAGGGTCTCTATCATTGAGCTACATCCCCAATCTTTTCAAATTTTTATTCTAGACAGGGTCTCACTAAGTTACCCAAGCTAGCTTCAAACTTGCAATTCTCCTACCTCAGTCTCCCAAGCACCACCACCATGCCTGGCTCTGAAGCATATTCTTAATTACTACCATTTCGCTAAATGAAGAATCTCAAAGTTCAATACCCTAAATAATAATGTAAACACATAAGGGTAATGGCACTTTTTTTTCCTTCATTTTGAGATAGGGTCTTGCAAAGCTGCTTAGAGCCTCACTTAGCTGCTGAGGGTAGCTCTGAACTTGTGATCCTCCTGCCTCAGCCTTCTGAGCCAGTTGAATTACAGGCTTGCAACACCACAGCTGGCTAATAATCTCATTTTCTCCCCAAAGATTAACATTAGTAGAAATCAAAATGGATAATCCAAAGCTTATAATATATTTACTTTTTAACAGTCTTGTCAGTAATACAAACATTTCCTTTTGAAGATTTATCTATATACATACACACCCGAGGTTAAGTTCAAATTCTCCTAAAACTTTAGGTCAAAACCATCTAGTTAGGTACCTCATGTTAGGTGCAAGGCAGGCTGAACTAAGTTGTCTGCAGGGCAGGCTGAACGAATGTTAGCTGCAGGATAACCCAGGGACTCAACCCCGCCTCTGTCTGGTCCTTTATCATCTGTTTGCTTCAAGTCTGAACACTCAAACTCACTCAAGGCTGAACACTGGACCCCCACCTGTCTGGTGCAACAGAAACCACATCTGACACTTGCCTTGTCTGCCTGAAGGCCAACGATGGCACCCTTAGCAACCACTGTATGATCCAATCACTATACACCAACAAGGCAGCTTGCAGACCCAAAGACCCCATGAGATTTTGGCTATAAAAACTCCCTCCTGCTGGGCCCTTCTCTCTTGCTCGCGCTCTCTCTCTCTCTCTCTCTCTCTCTCTCTCGCTCTCTGGCGCGCGTTCTTTCTCCCTCTCAAGCTCACTCTCTCTCTCTTTCTTCTCTTGCGCACTCTCTTTTCTCTCTCTTTTCTTCTTTTTCGCATTGTTGCATCAAGATCTCTTGGTCACTCCGAGTGTTGTGGTCACTTTTCTTTCATCCCAGATGTATTCATTACTGCATCTTGAATTATATAATCTTTGAAAATTATATAATCTTCAAAAGAAGATTATAACATTTTCATAAAAGTAAATATTAATAAGCATTTTGTTAGCAAATAAAGTAAAATAGGAAATACTATGAATTCATACAAATAATACAATAAACCTCTGCTCACCTAATATCCAAACAAGCAGTTAGATCAACTAGAATTGTTTTTATGTATTCCATGTTCTAATGTTATGAAAGTCAGATAAGCAAATATAGTAGAGGATCTACTCAAAAAACCCAACAATATTAGAATTATGACAGCTTCATCCCTTGCATTTTTTACAAGCCAATTATCAACAAATTATTCTCATAATGAGTCTAGGCATCCAAAATACTCATGTACTCTTTTTCTTTTTCTTTTTGTGGTGCTGGGGATCGAACCCAGGGCCTTGTGCATGCATGGCAAGCACTCTACCAACTGAGCTATATCCCTAGCCCTTATGTACTCTAATCATCAAATAAAAGGACAAATTATATTCTTTTAGGATTAAACATATTTTGCTATATTGAAACTCTTTTGAAAGATATAGAACTTATTATAAAAAAACACCTTAGGAGCTGGAGATGTGGCTCAGTTGGTAGAGTGCTTACCTTGCATGCACAAGGCCCTGGGTTCAATCCCCAGCACCACACACACACACACACATACACACACACAAAAAAAAAAAAAAAAAGGAAAGAAACACCTTAATAGAGATTGTTCAAATTACCTAGAACATGGCTGACTCAGTCTGAATATAGTACTTTATCATATATTTTTCAGATCTCAATAAGCAACCTGAAGATATCAAGCAATTACTTACCATTAAGAGATTGCTGCCATGCTAAAGCAGAACAAAGTAAGGCTAAGCTTTTTCCACTTCCTGTGGGGCTCTCCAACAAACAATGTTGACTACCATTTAATCCTCTGACAATCTACAGATAAAGAAACCAATAAAAAGTCAATAAACAGGGCTAGGGATATAGCTCAGTTAGTAGAGTGCTTATCTCACATGCACAAGGCCTTGGGTTCAATCCCCAGCACCACAAAAAAAAAAAAAAAAAAAAAGAAAAAGAAAAAAGTCAATAAACATTTTACTTTATTAGGTTTCTCTATCAGAAGTACAAATAAACAGCAAGAAGAATCCCATGGAACATAAGAATAGCACAAGGAAGAACCAATATTTAATTAAAACTAGACTTTATTCCTTTATACCTCTCCCTAAAATTATTTTGATTTATAAGCATACCAAGCACAACAGAAGAAATGAAAAAAGCAATTTTTCCTTCAATTATACAAGCACCAATCATTTCTATAAAATTGAAATACATTAGTACCTATGAATATCTTTGATGAAAATAATGAAAGATACTGTTATACAAAGTGTTACAACCACTTTGTAAAAAAAATTAACACTTTGTAGTAAAGTTGAAGATGCCAAAATCCAGTCCTATTATATAACCCAAACCTTTTCTATATGAACACATAAAAGTTCATAGCAGCATTGCTTGCTTATTGCAAAAGAATGTAAACAACCTAAACACCCATAGGAAAATGGAGAGATAAATTCTAATATATTCATGCAATGAAATGCCATGCCACAATTAAAATGGATTAACAATCAATAGAGCTACATCTTATAAAGACTCTGGGCTAGGGATATAGCTTAATGGTAGAGTGCTTTTCCAATATGTGTGAAGTCTTCGGACTGATCCCCAGCACTGCAAAAAATAAAAAGTTCTACAGAAAAATCAAAGTTTAAAACTGCTAGGCACAAGTACATACCTGTAATCTCAGCAATTCAGAAAGCTGAGCTAGGAGGATTGCACGTTAGAGGACAGCATGGTCAATGTAACAAGACCCTGTTTCAAATTTTAAAAAAGCACTAGAAAGTAAAAATAATAATAAAAAAGCACTGGAAGAGGCTGGGATTTTAGCTCAGTAGTAGAGTGCTTGCCTTGACGTGTGAGGCACTGGGTTCAATCCTCAGCACTGCATAAAAATAAAGAAAGTAAAGGTATTGTGTTCATCTGCAACTAAAAAAAAATTTTTAAAAAAGAAAAAAAAAAAGCACTGGAGGGCTGGAATTGTAGTTCAGTGGTGGAGGGCTAGAGTCGTAGCTCAGTGGTGGAGCAATTGCCTTGTGGGGCACTGGGTTCAATTCTTAGCACTGCATATAAATAAGTAAAATAAATAAATAAATAAAATAAAGGTCCATCAACAACTAAAAAATTTTATAAAAAAGCACTGGAGAGAGGCTGGGGTTAAGGCCCAGTGGTGGAGTACTCACCTAGAACATGCGGGGCTCTGGGTTCGATCCTTAGTACCACATAGAAATAAATAAATAAAAATACAGGCATTGTGCCAACTACAACTAAGAAATATTTTTTTAAAAAAGCACTGGAGGGGCTGGGGATGTGGCTCAAGTGGTAGCACGCTCGCCTGGCATGCGTGCGGCCCGGATTCGATCCTCAGCACCACGTACAAACAAAGATGTTGGGTCCGCCGAGAACTAAAAAATAAATATTAAAAAATTCTCTCTCTTAAAAAAAAAAGCACTGGCGGGGTTGGGATTATGGTTCATCGGTAGAGCGCTCACCTCACACATGCAAGGCCCTGGGTTCGATCCTCAGCACCACATAAAATAAATAAATAAAATAAAGGTATTGTGTTCAACTACAAAAAAATCAATATTAAAAAAAAAGGGCTGGGGATGTGGCTCAAGCGGTAGCGTGCTTGCCTGGCATGCGTGCGGCCCAGGTTTGATCCTCAGCACCACATACAAACAAGGATGTTGTGTCCGCCAAAAACTAAGGAATAAATATTAAAAAATTCTCTCTCTCTCTCTTTAAAAAAAAAAGCACTGGAGATATATCTCAGTGGTAGAGCACCAATTAGTTCAATCCCCAGTACCACCAGAAGAAAATTCTAAAACCATTGGAAACACAAAGAACAAATTCAGAATATTAATAATCTGATATAGGGTAAATATGACCAAATATTAAGATTTAAAAGCTGGAAAGCTGATTTACTCAAATGTGTGTATTAATTTTCTAGATAATTGAAATACAATCAGCCTCTGTATATATGTTCTGAATTTATGGATTGAACAAACAGCAAATCAAAAATATTCATAAAACAACTATTTACACAGTATTTACATTGTATTAGGCATAGGTGATCTAGAGATTAAATGACCGATATATGCAAATAGTGTACTGTTTTATATATAATAATAATTAATAATATATATGAATATATATATATAATCTGCAGATTTTGGTATAAGAAGTAGGTCTTAGAACTAATCTTGCACAGATACTTAGATACTATACTGCAAAGAAAAATACTATTTGTAAAAGACAATGTTTTCTGTAGAAAACATTAATTTATTAAATAGAAATTCCAAATGAGCTGAGAACATTCTTCAGAAAGTTCTTCCCTGCATACTAACTATAGTCATATACAGTTCAGTAGTGATCAATATTAATTTTCCCAAAGGTTAGGTGTTTTTCCAAATGAACCCAGCAAATATTATCTATCTAAACACTATCTGAGAATATAACTATAGTCACATACTCAATGTATTATGTTACAAACCATAAGTATCTATATCTAAAAGACTTAACTGCTGAAAAACACTTACAGAATTCATCATAGCAAGCTGTGATGGGTAAGCTTTACAAGGAAATTTGATCTTCACTCCGCAAATTGTATATTCAGACCACATTGAGGACATCCTGCTTTCTTGTTTACTTTAGATTCCTAACTGCAACAGAAATGAAAATCAATACTGAAACAGTGTCATTCTAAGAAAACCAGACACCCAACAGTAAAACAGAAGTCTAGAAATAAAAAATGGGATTAGTGGATTAGTAAGTGTATAAACAAAACAAAGGGAAGCAAAATAAATTTCCTATACTTATAAATAAATCAGTGGTCAAGAACATGTTTTAAGAGTGACAGGTCTGACATGGTGGCACATGCCTGTAATCCAAGTAATTCAGAAAGATGAGGCAGGAGGATTGGAAGTTCAAGGTCAGCAACTTATCAAGACCCTTAGTAACTTAGTGAGACTCTGTCTCAAAATAAAACAAAAGGGATGGGGATACAGCTCAGTGGTAGAGCACCCCTTGGTTTAATCCCCAGTATCACCTAAAAAAGAAAAAAGTCTGACAAATCTGGATTTGTATCTCTACCCTACCATGTATTCATTGTGTGACTGTGGGGTTTACTTTTCTAGACTTTGATATCCTCATCCATAAAATAAAGATAGTAACAATATCTAACCCATAATACATAACTTAATAATTGTTATTCTTATTTTGGTTATATTGTTATTATCAATCTACCAATAGGTTCCTAAGGCAACTTTCTCCAATTCCATAGCACCACTCTTTTTCTCCTATTCTATTCCTGTTTCCTCTTCCTGAAGTTCTCCAATTAGAAGGGAAAAGCTGTGGACCAGGTTTCAGGAAGCATAGATTCTAGATGAGGTCCTGAAAGTTCTCATATAAATTATTTTTAACATGTCTTTTCACTTCTCTGGTCTAAGGTCCATGTCTGTAATAATCCCTAATTTAAAAATTGTTGCCAGGGAGAAAGTGCCTTCAGACATAGTAGGTACTCAATAATTCTTATTTAAAGGTCAGTAACTATAATGGAAAGAAGATGGGCCTTGGAGTAAGGTAAATCCAAGTTTGAATTCCAGTATGTGAATCACTTAACCTCTTTCTCAAACCTTGTTTGTGAAAATTAGCCAAGACAGAATGTGCATAACCCAGTATCTGACAGAGATATGATTTACTTTAATCCTCATCTCTTTTAAACCACTTTCTTAACCGAGAATCCATAGATGTTATTCTGAGAATGTAACCTCTTAAAATTGCATGCAGAAATTCCTCTGCATGATTGCATTTTTCTGAAGAGAAAGTTCATAGATCTCTCTTCCAATTCATATATCCTACAGAAACCAAAAAAGGGGAAAATTATATACATTTACACACACACACACACACACACACACTTTTTATCAACTAAGGAATTTTTGCAATAGTGAAAAAAGTGTTAAATTCATCCTGGGGATAGAGATAGTTAAAATAGCTATTATGAAGCCAAAAACAGCCTTCACCAGTTTGTGTTTCAAAAGAAGTTAAGAATCACTGCATTTTCCAGTTCTAAAAAGGATTCTGTGATTCCATCTGTGAAGCTCTGAGAATGAGGTTTAGTGCAATCTAACATCAATCTGAATCAAGACGCAGGCCTACTAAACCTCATCCCTGGCCTGGCTGTGGCAACATTCCTCTCATAAAGAAGCAGCTTCCTCTACCGACAGCATAAAGGACAAACAAACCGTTCAGCCTCCCGCCAAGAGGCAAAGAGGGCCCAGGGCTCACGTCATGCCTGTGCTCACGTCATGCCTGTGCTCAAAGGAGGTAAAGATGGGTTCCCTTCCCCTTACCTCCCGCGGCCAACTGAGGTCCCGCGGCCTAGGTGATCTGGTCCACCCAGGAGAGCGGGAGAGGCTGCCAAGACCTTGGCAGAGGAACCCTGCTAGGCGCCCTACCCCCAGACCTCCCGCAGACATGCCGGTGCTGAGGGGAAACAGAAGCAACGCGGACTGGGCTCCAACTCATGGCGGGGAGGATAACATCTTTGAGAGCAAATAATGCAGACCTCCTAGCAGAGAAAAAATGGCGCAAGCCTTAATTCTCTCTTTTCCTCGCAGACTATTACTCCCTGGTGTGTCGCGAGTTCCAGCCGCTTTACCTTTTCCCGGCTCCAGCTCTCATTCCTCTCGGCACAACTCCGAATGAGTTCCCGCTTCCCACCCCCTTGACTCCCAACACCCAATCGCCGAGAGAGCTCACACAACCAATCACCCGCCAAGACCGGAAAGCAAATAGCCAATCCCAGCGAGAGGTTAGGGGGCGAAAACTCTAGCACCCAATGGAAACCTCCAAAATAAGAACCGACCCAATGTACTTGGAGGCGCCAGAAAGCAGCCACCGTAGAGGGAAGAGTGGACTGGAGTAAACCCCAGGGGCTTCTTTAAAGAAAAATTGCCTTCTCGGCTCATCTTTTCAAATTGATAGGGGTTAGCCGAGCAGCCAATTCCCTGGAAACTAACGCTCATTTTGAAGGTTCGTAAACCAAAGAAAGGATACATCTTTCTAAGCCTTGCCAAGCTATTCTCTGGTGCCGCTCAATTTGAATCAACCAACTTTACAGGAGCCATAGTATAAAAAAAAAAAGAAAAAAAAACGGAATTGCTAGACTACAGAACCAAACTAGGCGAAAAGATTCTGACAATTGGCAGTTTAAAAATCAAGGCTTTCCCGGATGATAGAATCTGCCAGAGATAATGCTCTCCAAAATCTCCAGCAACAGATAGATCATTTCTACTTACTTTAACGCTTACTTGCTTTCTATGCTTCCTAAAACCAGTGTATTCTTCTTTGCCATGTACAATTCAGTTTCGTCGAGGTAGGGGGTTAGGGTTGATCTCGCCAAATTTATTTATTGTTGTTTAAATTCTGTATGACCAACAGGGTGCTTACCTGTAACCCCAGCTACTCAAAAGATTGAGGTAGGAGGATCTCAAAGTTTCCTGTCTCAAAAGTCTGGAGGCATAACTCAGTGGTAGAGCACCCCTGGGTTCGACTCCCAGTACTGGGGGAAAAAAATCTGTGTAACCTACACTTGACTCAAATACTATTATCCCAAAAAAGGCAAAAATCTGAGAGGGTTTCTTAAATTCATATGACTAGTTTGGGGAGGGAGGTTTGCTGGGAGTAGGGAGCAGAAGGCATTCACAGTTCAGTTGTGCATATCCTCAAAATAATAAAACTTGTCATATAAATAAATTATGCCCGTTGACCTAGTAATCTCAGACCCAGAAATGTGTCCCAAAGACATAATGTAAAAGAAAAAAAGGTGGTAATACCTCAATTCGTAACACTACTTACCTATTTGTAATACTGCCAAAAAAAAATTAGATTTCCCATTCTAGGAGATAGTTATATCAATTAAATAAATTATGAAGCCAATAAAATTATTTTAAAAATTAAACTACTTGCAAGAAAAAATATCTTATAAAGTGAAAAAATCAGACTCCATGTTGAATGTTAAGAATTTAGTAATGTGAAAATACATATGGATAAACACAAAGGAGTAATTTACTATTACAAAGGGATGAAGAATAATTTATCTTAAAAAAATCCTTAAAAGAAACTGCAGATTGTTATTTTCCTCTTACCATTTTTTAAAAGATCAAATAATTGAAGTAACTGCTCCAGGGTTAACTATCATATTCCTGACTTAAATTCCAAAGGCTTTCAATTAACTCTAACCTCTTATTGCCATTTAATGTGTGGGGCATAACAGAAAGTGATATACCTAACTTCTGGAACCAGGCAATCCTGGACTTCAATACCTTCAGCTGTTCCTTTCAGGGTTACAACTATTATGGAATGAAACACCAAAAACTAAGTTCATTTGATAAAGAATATGAATGTTTATAAATCAATATCCAAAATAGCTGCACACATCTGTTTTCACTTGAATAAAAAAAATCATTGTGACAAATTTTATAACCTTAACTTAAAATACATGAATATTAACATTTACTAATATATTTACACATTTATTTACATCATCATCAACAAAGCTGATGAAAAACAGCATGTTATTATTTTAACACAGCAGGTTTTGACCAATCTTTTGAAAAATCAATCCAGAAAATGTGCACTGCATTTAGTTAGAAAACATACTTCAACCTTTTCTGAAGTCCTAAGAGGTACCTATTCACACAAAATATTCCAAGGCCTCAGTTTAAAAATAAAACAGGAGCAGCTGTATTTAATCTTATGAGACTACAAAACTGCCTTGTTTAAAAATATGAAAATTCTTGTGGTATTTTTTCATCATACTCTTTTATTCTTCACATCAAAATTACTTAATTACATTAAGCATCTAATAAAAAGTTACAAATATTCTATCACGCATGATACTATACACTCCATGATTGGAAACAGCTACAAACTAGTTTTTATAGAATATCATTATGAGGTAGGGCCAGTAGTAACCCCATTTTACAAAGAAAGAAAATGAGATGTGACTATTTGCTAGTGAAAAGGTTTGAAGTTAAATTTCTTTCCTTAAAAAACACTTTATTAGCTTGCTTAACTTCTTTTACCAGCGAAAAGGCTTGTTTCAAGCCGGGGCAGGGTGGGTTGGGGTGGGGGACAATTGAGGTATATCCCAGAGAGCAAAGAGAAGTACCTTCTACAATGGACACTTAATTTTTTTTTTTAAAGAAAAATGTAGATTATGGTTTTCTTAATGCACCTACCTAATCAATGGGAGTTACTAACAGAGAGCTGCAAAATCCTTCAGCAAGACAGTATTTGCCACATTTTAATTTTTCCTGAGGTTTAAACACTGTATAATATTTTCTCAAAGATCTTCTCAAAGGAAAATGTGAATCATAATCCTGATGATAAACCAAGAGCTCTTTAATCCAGTGGGGTTTATTGCTCTAAGTTTCTTTTAATTTGATATATATTCCCATCTCTGAGAATTAGATAAGTTAATAAAGCATTATAAAAATAAATGTAAAAAATAAAATAAATGAGACTTCCTTTCAGGTTCCTCTCCGCACAGAGATGTTTCTATAAACACTTTTAAACTAGTATCTTCAAATTCCAAATTATTCAAGTATCTCTTCAAACATATGGC